CCCCCCCGGCTGCGCCCACTAAGCCCGCTTACCTCTCTCCGGATACAAAACTCGCCGTCCGGCTGGAAGATCGTCCTCTTCCTCCCCAGATCAATAGCGTCAAGCGAACGAAGCCGGCCTGGCTCAGCAAACCGAGCCGCGGTCCAGAGCCCTCTGCTGATCGCCGGCCTCCATTGCGGCTTGTTTTGCCGCTGGGTGAGCCGACGGTCCTCTGAGCATGTGCAGACGCCTTCTCCAGGGGACACATTTTTTCCTTGCGGCCGATCGGGTCTTTAGGCGCTTTCTGACCCGAGTCGTGTGAAAACGCCTTTCTCCTGGAAGCAACTTGAATTTCACTTAAAAACCGAAGACTCCTGGATTTGTGCGAATAAGAGCTGTTTCTGAATCAGAATTAAGCTGGGAGGGACCTTGGAGGTCTTCTAGTCCAGCCCCTTGCTCAAGCAGGAGACCATATCCTATTTCAGACAGGTGTCTCTCCGGTCTTTTCTTCCAAACGTACTGTGGTGAAGCACCCATAACTTCTGGTGGCAAGATAATACGGAAAGATCATAATCCCAACAAAACCTGTGTACTATTATTATTAGAATTACATATAAGTTGACAAACATAACTAAGATGAACATTACTTTATTTGTTTTAAAATATGATTAGAAAGGGATAACCAGAAATAAAAGATAAAGGAGAATCTGATTACTACTTGGTATGGAATATATGGTATAAATGGCTAGAGGAAAGATGTAAAAAATAAGATAGCATTAAGGGAAGAAAGAGTAACAAATCAGAAAATAATTACAAAGCCGCATAAATAAGCAAGATAAAAAAATGGAAGATATATTGTATATAAAATAGTACACTGATTAAAATGTATAAGAGGAATATATTGTATATAAATTAAGTACATTGGTAGAGTAATATGTATAAAAGAAATATAAGTAATTAAGTATGGATATTAGATGTATTGTAGATAAATTAGTATATTAGTAGATGAAAATGTATAAAAGAAGTATATGTATATATGTACTGATAAAAATGGTAAAAATGGAGGTATACCAATGTGGAAAAGTTGCAAAGATGATAATTGTTGTTAAAAGTTTGGAAAAAACACTTTAATTAAAAAAAAATTAAAAAAAAAAGAAAAGGGACTTTAAAAAAAATATAACTGTGGTATAACTATAAATCAGAAAGGGGAAAAAGGGAAGATTATAATTCAATGTAGATCGATGTATTAATATTGGAAATATAAATCTGTTAAGCATAACAAATATGATTATTGGTATTTTATCTGTAGTAAAAGGAATATCTCGAATATGGTGATTGGCATAAAAATATTATATGGAATATGGAATAATTAAGGAAATATGATAATTCAACAAAATATGTGCATTACTACTAAGAGTTTATAAGATTGTTAATTGTGTTAAATATGAAGAGTATTTTTTATTTGTACTAAAATGTAACTCTAGTTCCACACTGTTCACACAACAATGTTTGTAGAAAAAAAAACATTAAAAAAACTTCTGGTGGCAAGCTGTTCCACTGGTAAAATTGCTCTCACTTTGCGACTTAGAATAACTTTATTGTCACTTTGAATTCCTCACTGTTAGGAAGTTTCCTTTTAAGATGCTGAATTATTATTTTTGACAAAAATTCTTCCAG